GGATGGAGATAAAATTTAAAATGACCTGTATTCTTATGAAAACATACAAAACAGCTTTCAAAATGAAAGATGAATGAAGGTACACAAAATGTATAATTATGGTTTCCAAGAAATATAAACTTTGGCTGCATTGTTAGGAAGTAAAAGGTCTATAACCAAAAAAAACAACATCACAATATTTTACTTGAATCCTGTAGTTTATTAAGCACATAGTCATGTAAAGCTGGCAGTTAAATTCATTACCACTGCAGATATCCTGCACCTCCCCATGGAGAAGAATGGTTGGTTCCACTACAGTGATGAACTCATTCCTGTACAACAAAGTGGAGAAAAAATACAGCGTCAAAAACTGCTTAAATAGTCACTTGTTGCGATGATAACTCTCTAAATATCAGTATGCTTCTGCTGTATTTACTATTACTGGATCAGGGAGTGACACAGTACACACATTTTACAAACTTTGAATGGGCTGCAAAAATTTAATTTCCTTCATGCTTCATGACTTACAAAACAAAACAAAGGAAATCCATTAGTATAACCAGGAGTTCAGCACCAGGGAAAGGTACAACACAGTGATATGATTTGTACCAAGTTAGTAAGAAATGTCTGAGAACCATGCAAGGACATGAATTCTTGTGGGCGTATGGTGGAGAAACGATGAATAAATATGGGAGCATCTCATAACACTTTGAGAAAGAAAGGTCTCCCGTGCCCTTATGCAGAGTGTAGGGTGGTGACCATATCCATTTTTGTATCCCTTGGGTGACACACAGCTGTGCAATGCACTACAGCATGGGGCTGGTCCGCTGGTAGTGCTGTGTGTTTGACCTTCCCGCACTCTTTCTCATATGTGCTGAGTGCTAAGCAGAGAAAGAAGTGTGTACCAGTTTTAAAGTCTTTGGTATGACCCGACCGGGGTTTGAACTCACGACCTCCCAGTTACAAAGCGAGCACTCTACCAATTGAGCTATTGATGAGATGAGATGAAAGAAAAAAAGTTCAATAAGTGCATATAGTTTCATGACGCCATAAGAAGTTCTTAATCTTCTTATTAGTCTACCACACCTGACAGCACCACACCTCACCCAAAGCCGACTGGAGAAAAGAAAAGTCAACTGACCAAAAATTTTGCCAAGAGCAGTCTTTGAGACAGCTTCATCCAGTTTAGCATTTAACAGTTTTCAAGGCTTCACTAAACGGTAAGTGTTGAGTCATGAATTACATTGCTTCTCCCTTTGTCTTGATGTTTCTTACTTCTTATTGCCAAGAAGTGGTCTCTTTGCCTTGCACTGAGGAAATTCATTCAGAAAAAATATGTCTCTGTCCTTTGTCTTGGTTGGTGATAATTCAGAAAAAAATATCCCCCCATTAAGAAATGTCCAGTGGATAAAAGGATGTGTACTAGATAAGAGGTAACAGTCCCATAGCCTTTAAGGCAGGTGGGGTTTTAATCTATGGCACCCTTCTCATCTACCACCTTGTACCTCCCAAACTGAAGTCAGGTACCCAATTTACACTTACCACCCGGTATATAATAGGTGGAGTGAGGAAAGTTGTGTAATGTGCCTTTCCCAAGGGCAAAATGTCTAGCTAAGAATTTAAGGAATCAAACCTGTGACAAACAGTTACATATAGCTCCTCAGTACAGTTAGTCCTTTGTTCTTTGGATCTTCATAAGATGTTACTAGATTGTCCTGTCTTGCTGGCTGGCCTAGTCTCTTAGCCATTGATACCACACCAGACATACATGTAGGTACAGCACATCTAAACGGTGGCAAATGAAATACAATTCATCTCTCTCAAGATCACAATTGCAAAAAAGTCAGCTTTTTGGCTAAGCTGCCAAAAGACACCCATTTTTGTCCACATTTACAGATGAAAGGAAAGCCTATACTTTGAAACACTCCACTTAAAATCATAGAACCCAGCTATTATAGAAGGACTGGGGTCCTCATTATCTTTCACTGTTTTCTAGATATGAAGTAAAACCCAACAAGCTTAGATTTAGAACATCAGCAAATTGTCTTCGGCAGTTTCAAACCTGTTTTAGATAAAAGTGCAGCTAACAAGGTCCTAGCTTTCAGTTCTGGCCAGGAAAGTTGAAGCAGGGCTTGCAGTGTCCTTGGGGGTGTGTGGTGGTGTCCTTGGGGAGTCTAGTTAATCATAATGTGAATCTACCAAACTTTCTTTTAATACTGGTACATTAAACATTGTATAACATCAACACTTTCTAATACCCATAATTAGTCTGCCTCATACAGAACTGGATCAGACCAGACCAGCATATTGGCAAAATATACTGCACCTGTGCAAAACCCTGATTTTCACCGTTTTCGTTGGATTTTTGGTCAACGTTGCATCAGTATTTTGCCCGTTGCAGACAATACCTTTTCCGACCCATAATTTTACGACTACAGACGGGATGTTAACCTTATATACTCATATACAGCCTTACACATGTATGATCCGTTCTGCCGAAGTGCTATACACAATACATTACAGGTTTTGTGCAGGTGCAGTATGTTCTGCCAACGTCCTGATCACACCTGTTCTCCCTATAGGTTAAATCATAATTTAAAACACAGTGCAAAGGTGATAAACATCTACATTGTACGTGATGATTGTATCCTGCTTAACTCAACCTACATAATTGAAATTGGCAATTGGCAAATAACAATCTCGTTCTCATCCTGACTTTGTCAACAGTGTCACAATGAACAAGTCTATGAGACAAGAGAACAGTCCGGTACATCATACAAACCATCCAGAGGAGCTGACAAGCCCAGGACAAAATGAAGATAATCTACACTCTGATCAGAATGTGTTGTACACAGAAAGCACTGTAGAGCCAACAAGAATGTCAACATGTGGCCAAAACTCTCCCAGTGTTCAAGCACAGGACAGGTCAGAGGCTACGTATGTAGCTGGCGATGAATCTAAATGTACGAGCACAAATGAGGATTTTTATATTGCAAAAAATGATGATGTCCCAGAGACAGCTGGTGTATATTTTGTATCTGATACGATGGATGCTGAAAACTCTGCCATGTACACAGCCTCAAGGGAAAATGAAGAAGATAGTGGAAACATTGAAGAAAAACCCCAAGTCATGCATGTAGACAGTACAGTGAATTTCAACTCCAACACATATGCTAACAAATCTCAGCCTGACACCTCAGGAGACAAGGGTAATAACAGTAACACGACAAGGAACAAAAACTTCTCTGACGTTGGTGACATTGAACCTTACGATGTTGGATATGTTGACAAAGAACCCAAAGCTGGGACTGATGATGGTGACATTGAACCTTATGCTGCTACATACATGTATGACAATGAAACCTATCTCAATGGACCAACAAATGTTCACCACCAAGCTTCAAATCATCCAAAGACAGACACTAAAGTGACTGATGATGGTGACATTGAACCTTACGCTGTTACAAAAATGTATGATAATGAAACCTATCTCAGCGCAACAACAAACGTTCGCCAACAGGCTTCAGATGACTCCAGTCACGACCCCACCAAACATGTACACAAGCTTCGCAATCCTCCAAACGCAAAGGAACTTATTCGAAATCCAATGTACATACCAAACCTCCAACAGGCCAATAAACTTTGCGGTAAGATGACAAACTCGTGTTTCATGACACACTAAAGAACTACTAGTAGGTCTAGTTTGTTGTTTATACATTTTTTTTTAACTGTTGTGACATAATCTGAACTACTTTGTCTAAATCCTACAGTATATGGGGAATACTTTTTGTGTGCTACATGTAGGTACCGAGGAGTCTATCACAACACCCGAGGCATTCAAACAGTAAGGTCAACATCTTTGTCTGGGCTCAATTTTACACCTTAGGCCACACCAATTTGAGTTGTTGGTTCTTGCAAGAAAAACCCCTGACCTATGCATCATCTGATTGCCCCAAAAGCTACGATAGCCATGAAAGGACGCTGGCGATTCCGAGAACCAATTTTATTACTTAAATTGGCATCGCCTTAATAAAAGCAAAAAAGTTTCATTTATTTATGTTATACTCCCATCAAGTAAACAAGTAGAAGAAAACCAAACAATAAAGCAAACAAAAGTTCAGGGCTCGAAATTCATATTTGGTAATAGGTGTAACAGTGCACCTAACCTAAAATTGTAGGTCCATAGAACAAATTTTTGGGGTACAACATAAAGTTAGGTAGAATGTCAGAAAATCATAATAAAAAACCTTTGAATTACTGCCTCTCTCTCTGCCTCAATCTGAATTCTGCAGCTGGCTTAAAAATCTTAAACAAGTGATACACATGAAGATTTTATGATTTTTCTTGACACTTACACATCAAGAATACTGTACAATAGGTGCACAATAGGTTCAAACATTAATTTTATATTTCTTCTTGTTTTCCCAGACTATACAAGAAGTTAAGAACTCGAGTACACTGAATGCAACAGAACTGATACATGCAGCTACCATCAGGAGCACTGATGGTACCAACACACCAAGCCTAGGTGGTATCAATGGTACCAACCCACCTAGCCTTGAGAACACTGATGGTACCACCCTACCCAGCTTTGAGTTTATCAATGGTACCTACAAAAGTAAGAGTATAATCATGTATTACTAAAGGGGTAATGCCCCACCCTGACGTGAATATGTTGAGATAATCCCTGGTCAGATGCAATAACCACCAAATAAACCACCAAGTGTGCATAGCTTAAAATTCTTATCTGAGTGTATCATCTGGGTTTAACTTTAAATACCAATTATAGTTTTTAAACTTTCAAAAGTGTATCTACCTTATGTTTTGTACATTTTCAATTATCACAATATGCTACAATTTTTAACAACTTGTACATCTACTGTACAATACAGGATGAGGCTGGTTGTCATGGATTTTTCACCTTTTTCCATCTTGTTGCTTTACACATTTCAAAATAAATCTGAGAACCAATAAATTAGACCTGTGTGGCCTAAAGGTAAGATGCTATCACTGATACAGAAATGACCTGCGCAAAGGAGACCCTACAACTGTCCTGTGCAGCGAATGAGCTGATCGTGATTGAGGATATATTCTACGGTCGGAGGGAAAACGGTCCTCGCTGTGGATGTACAACCAGGGACCGGTCTTGTGATAAGTGTCAAGTTATTGACGACTAGTAAGTAGCACCATAACCGAGCTAATCCCACTCTATAGATTGCAGTCCTCTGAAAACTGTCGTGTGGGCTGGCCACTAGGTGTGAGATTTAGTCAGAGTACATGTAGGTCCTCTAGAAGGTTGATGACTATTATGATCTCTAGTCGTAACATCTGATATTCTTTCTTTGTGAGAGGAGTAAAATTGGACTATATCAAATGTTTGTCTTGTAATTTTTTTAGCTACTATTTTGGCATGTACATATAAGTTGTACATGTATAACACTGGTGTACTTGAGTCAGAGATGTCTGACTTATATCATGATAGATATTGCTGAAAATTGTGTGACATTTGTTATATCAGCTGTCTGATATTTACATAACCCTGACGCTATTTCAACAAGTCAATTTGATACAAATTAGCTTAATTCAATTACAATAACTGATGGTTTTAATTTGTATTTTGTAATAGTTCAAAAGCCGACCTCCTGTCCTACATAAGGAAGCTATGTCAAGGGTTGCAACAGTGTGACGAGCAACCAGAAAATGTTTACGCCATTCAACGCTGTCCGAGCATAAAGAAGTACCTGGAAGTAACATACCACTGTGAAGGTGGGTACAGATATCAATTTCTCTTCTTTTGGTTACGCTCTGAGCCTTAAAGTTAGGGACAGATACAGTACCTGGACCTAAACATCTGTGGACAATTAACAGTGTGCATTTTGTAATCAGTTTCAGTCTTTTTCAGTGGTAAATTTTATTGTTTCTCATAGTATGAGGACTTACATACCTTCATCTCAAAACGATACTATCTACAACTTTTTCTAATTACGAAGTGCCGAACTGTCAAGAGTCATGCATCTATTTATCTATCTATCTATCGAATGATCGATCCATCAGTATCTATTCATTATAGTCTAAAAAGTGGTGCCCACTACACTAAGTGTTTTACTCTGTTTTACCAGCAGAAGTGAAAAAGAACGTCACCTTTCAAAAAGACCCCAGACAGTTGGACACGTCAGACACTTGGGAATGGGGAGCACTGGCCGTGTCTTCGACTAACGAGATATTTGTGACTGACGAGCGCAACAAAAGAATCCAGGTCTTCAGCATGAAGGGAGTTTTCATTCACAGTTTCTCCACAAGAGACTTAAAACCAGTTGCCATTTCCACTGGCCGCAATGATACCCTGTGGGTCATTTTGGAGGGATATGACATCCAACAGCACAGCAAAGAGGGCCATGTCCTTGCCAAGTTTACATGCAGCAGCACAAGTAAAGAAATAATCTATGGGATTGCCTGGCACGAGCTTTCTGACAGAATCATACTGACACAAGGAGCCTGGCCCACAGAGATTGTGTGGTTAAGTCCTACTTACACAACGACACCAACATCGGCAACATGTAACCTGAACAGGTTATCAGGAACAGGGTCAGATGAAATATCAAATAAACAATCTATAACCATAGACATGAAAGGGAACATTTACGTCATAGACAAGTATGAAGCTCGTATTCTTAAGTATGGTGAGAATGGAGTCTACCTTACCAGTTTTGGGAGTCCAGGTAGTGGAGCAGGGAATCTTAATAACCCCTCAGGAATCTGTGTGGACAGTTTGGGGCGTGTGATTGTGGCTGATGCTGGGAACAGTCGGGTGGAGATGTTCACAGCAAAGGGAGAGCACATCCGCACAGTAGCTTATATGCAGAAACCCAGACATGTTGCTACAGGTGGGGAGGGGCAGCTTGTGGTGTTAAATCAGGAAAGCTTTGTAACCATCTTTCCCAAATATTAGGCCCACATCGATTCATTTTATGGGCGGTTATCGATGGGGTCCCAAACATTTTCAAGTAAAAATTTAGCAAAAGGACAAGATAAAAAAAAACAGGACTGTGGAAAAAACGTGAGTCTGACTATATTCACTCTGACAAACGTTTTCCTAACTGTCAGTGTCTACTGTATTTCTGGGAAAGCTTATAGGGAAAGCTAGCCGATGTGGGAAAACCAATATCCATTGAATTATATTTTACATGTAGCATGGTGATGTGATACTAGTAAAATTACTGCTAAGTATGTAATTCTGCAAATTAGCCTCTCAATTATCATTCTCTGCAAATAGGCAATGACAAACTCTCATTGGCTCAAAAATTGATTATGTGAATGATTCTACAGATCATCACAAAGAAAATAACCTCCTGTACACTAAAATTTAGACCGCCTTAGTCACTATTGTACTGCATTATGCCAATTGTCATAATATGCTAATCTGTCTTTTGTGACATAATCAGTCAGCTTGTTCTTAAACATGACTTTGCTACTTGTCTGGCAATTAGTAAAGATGACACTGCCATCAAATAGAAATTAGCATTTTCCATTGTACAATAATGACACTACAATCTAGCACATGGATGCCCCCTCTGATTGGCCCATATTCATCTACGTATACAAGACTATTGTGACAATATGAAGACACACAATGCCTCAAGATACTTGCCAACTACAAAAGAGCTGGATTGCCTGTCAGTCAGATCTTGAATCCATTATTGCCATCAACAGTGAACAGCACAGCACAGCACAGTCTTCAGCTGCTAGTGAGTGACAGAAAGGTAAAGTATCCAAATTGTTTTCTTTTGTTCCTCGAATGATAATATACTAAATGACATACATAAAAGCTGTAGAACCCTTTAAACACTGCGTGGGTTTTCTGACAACCCTTCAAACACTCCACAGCATAACATTAACACAACAGACTGTAACTCATGATATGTGGAATGAACCAGTAACTATACATTCAGAGAGCAATGATCTACTGCCAGAAAACTATGTCATACAGACTACTTAAAACTTAACATGTTATATGGGATTTTGTTTAGAGCTACAAACCTTCCACACCCATACAGATAAAGAAGACAGAAATTCATACCAAGAGTTGGGCTGATTGATTAGGAAGATACCATACAACTCAGTCTGTAGGTGACTTGTAACCATTCTTTCTGCACATTGAAGATCTTTATTTCTGTTTGAGTTTATATTTTGCATTAGTTGATGTCTTCCAAATATTAAATGAACAAAAAAAACACTTTTCAGCTACCTGAAGAGAATAAGGGAAGTGAAATTGTAAAATCTCCTAAGTGTAACCCCCATTGTTTTATAGAATAGTCCGTTTCACTCTCTTTGGGAGGTCCCTCACCTCCATGTGGAATGAATCAGTCAGGTCAGGGGTGTTGGCAGCAGAAGTTCTTGTGCTGGGAGACCACTACTTCTGTAACCATCTTGAGGTGGAATAACCAGGAATTGTTGGACTGTTATCAGGGCCCAACCACCCCTGCCAGCTCTTTGGCACCAGTTTCAACATGTTCAACTTGCCCCAGAAGGACTCAAATTTGATCGGAAGACTTCTGAATTCAGACAGCAGGGTACTAATAGTAGTACCTATAGAACTACTATAGGCTAATTTTGAGTTGACCAGATGTGGATGAAAGCCATGGAGACTGACCACTGACTGACTGAGGTGAGGTTTAGGGGTAGAAGGCAAAATCATGTTTTATTAGTGCTTTTCATGCAAGTATTGTTTTTGGAGGCTGAGCTGTGGGTTTGTTTATCTGTTTGTCCAGAGACAGAGAGAGTACTAGATTCCAACAGTGCCTGATGGTGGTGAAAGATTGACAGGTAGAATGACAGGTCAAAGGTCTCACAGTGTGGGGAAGGGAGACAACAGGAATTAGTGGTCAACAGGGGGGGGGGGAATTCAGCAAATCTTGAGAAGCAACTTAGCATTGTAAACTTCATGGAAGTTGAAATATCTGATTTCTTGTTTTTAGTGGATTAATTTTTAGGCACATACATTAGATGACTTATTACTATAATATTATAGCCTTGAGCAAGATGTTGTTGCAAATATACAAGTGGATTGAAATCTTGAGAGCAAAGAATATTGTTGTTTATTTTTTATTTATTTATTAATTTACGAACGTTAATTCCCAAATGTTTAAAACAGCTTGATACGTAACTTTAGACTCACTCTTTTTTGACTGTCCTAGATCATGTCGTCAGAACTGGCCACCATGGTTGCCATCTTCCTGAACAACCCAACAGATTTTTTCGTCGTTCGAATGGACACCACCACTGGAACCCTCCAGGACATACGACAGGAGGCTACCAAGCAGGGCGAGAACATCACCAACTGTCTGTTCACAACTCCCGAGGGGGAAGTCATCGCACAGAGCATAGAACATCTACTACACTATCAGGTATATTGGGGTTGCTTTGAACTGTTGTCATCCTAATCATTCTAGTTGTTTGGAACTTGTGGTTGTGGCCATTTGTTTGTTTTTTAGTTAGTTGAAATGCCTAGATGTATGTATGCACCTGACGAATTGTTATGACACAGTCCAGTGCCTTGATTGTTACAAGTCAATTTCGACAAACACGGCATGAGTATAAAACTCACCTGCCTTGTAGGCGTGGGTTGCAGAAATCTTCAGTCAGATCCACCTTTCATCAGTTTCATCCACTATTCTGATACGGCCTCCAGGTGGGGGGACAGCAGGGCAGACATCTCCACTCTACTTTTCTGCAACACCCTCTTGACTACTCCTTGGTTTTCCACTGGAAGTCCTTCCTTCTGGCAGCCAAAGCCAGGAACTGATAGATAAACATTGACATTTGAGTTATTGTAAAACAAGATAGCAGAGATAGAGAAGAAGAATTTTCATTAAAATATGGTCTTAAAAATTAAACCGCCCTTATCATCGTTATGATGTCTTTGATTTCTTACTTTCAGCACATCTTGCATGGACCAGTCAACAGTTTTTTGAGGGTAAGTTACTAATTTTGTAAAATTTGTAAATTCATTGGCACCCAATCTTTATACATGTATGCACAAAGACTGAGTGTCTTTAACTGTTCTATAATCTGCAACAATCTGCAACTACAAATCTGCATCTCCTGCGCGTTAGTACTGTACAACTGTGAACTTAAAACTCAGCAAAAACCTCATTTCTCCTGCTGTGAAATGAAATTCCCACAAAAAAAGGAATTTTTAAAGGAATGCCTGATTAACTCAAGGAGAAAGCTTAATTCTGACACTGATATCAATACACAAAACAATGACTGACAACAACCTGGCTAGTTGGCCTTCATAAAGTTAATGCGTAGATGCAAGTAAACATTTCATATGGATACCTTTTCTATTGATCCCATCCAGATGGAGAGGGAAAACCCAAAGGACATCCCCACCCCATCTAGCACCACTAGTGAATCTCCCCCACCCTTAGCCAACACCTCAGAATCTCATCCACCCATCACCTCAAACTCTAGTGAATCCTCCCCTCCTAGTACCTCTGTTCAGTCTCCATATTTTACTCGCCAAAACACTAATGGTCATCATCGGGAGGGGGCTATCATGTCCGGTAATCCCCCCTCGTCCAGCAGTGGCAACACTGGCCCACCCCCTGAATTATACCCGATATTCACCAAGAACAGGAAGTGGACATGTACATCGAGCGCGTCAAAGTTCCATGTATACAGCGAAGAGGACTTAGCAAGTGAGTACATCTACATTACTACATTCTTACCTTCTATTTTTTTTAAGTGCACATCAATCTCTTCCCGGGCACCCTACCTTTTAAGCTTTATTTATGGTAGCTCTATTGTGTACTCTTTGTCTGTATCTTTATCTGTATAGCCCTTCAGTGCAACACACCAGCTATGTATTGACATGGGCAATTTTTAGGATATTGACAAAAGTCTGCAACAATCTATGTCATGCCAAATTTTGATCTCATTCCTAAAGTGTGACTAAAGGCAATGAATTTAGATAGAAAATTACAGATAAATTAATGTATCAGCTTTAGATCAATTACTATTAATGTCCCATTACAGGCTCTGCCACAGACAAGGAAAGACAGTACAAACAGCTATGGAACAGTGTTGGACAGGAAGAAGCTGTGCAGGGCATGACCAAGGCTCAAATGCAGGAGGAAGTCCACGACCGCTGGAGAACACTCAAAGCCAAGGCCGCTGAACCTACCCCTACCACCATGACTAGTACCACTGTTGTAACCAACACCGCCTGTACCTCCACTAGTACCACTACAGTTACTGTCACCACTACTGTTACTACAGTTACTACTACTCCACTGTTGGACCAGCTGCCTGGGCTGAGAGCTCAGTTGGTCACAGATAAGGACCATTACGTAGAAAGAAACCTGCAGCGATACTTTGACAACCCACAGGAGCTAGACAAGGTTGTAGAGGTGATAAGGAGAAGATATGTGAAGAAAGGAGTGAATGCAGGTTTTGTCAAACACCACGTATTGAAACTCACTGTCAGCTAGTTTTTATCGTAAGTTCTTGGACTAATCCAAATGAATAGAGAATAACTTTGCATCTTATTAAAGCGATAGCTTTCCATCATAGGACCTCAAATTGTTGACAATGATGATGATAGTGAAATATTCATTTTAGTTGTTTCATATTAACATATTTTTACATTGAAATCAAAAGTAGCTTTGGTACCTGTTATAGCAGTGAATGTGTGTCATCAACTGTTCTACAAAACTGTGGAGTCAAGCAACCAGAAAAATTCAATGAAATGAAAACTTGATTTCAAGTCAGTACACAAGGCTTTTGACTACGTAATGCTAATATTTTCAAACTGTTATAAAATTGTTGGGAACTAAGACACACTATTTGTAAATGATCTATTGCCTGCTTCTGTATGTCTTTAGATATCACTGCTAGTCACTAGTGGCTGTTTTGTGGTACGACACCCATGTATGATGCCCAGGACTACTACCCTGTACTTCACAGAAGTAATCATAAAGAACTGAAAACAGCTGTAGACAGTAGCAATGAACATCCTCTCAGTGACTAGGAATGGACTAGAGACTAAATTTCATGTGTTCGATCGCTTGCAATTTGCTATTGATATTTTATCAGGCAAGTAAGAAGAAAAACAACACTGGACGGCACGGAAATTAGATTAGAAAAGCAAGAATAAAGATGAATTCACTCTGCAACTAGAATTGCCATCTCTTCATGCACTGACTGAAGTCCAAATACTTAGTCAATGATTCCAGGTTTTGACACCCAACTATGACAAACAAGTGTAACATTTTACCATTATTAAAATACAACAACAACATAATACATGTACAGCCATTCTATGTACAGTGAAAAATTAACTATAAAACAGTAAATTTTAATTAAAGGATGAATAAGACAATGCATAGTTATTTTCGAAGGGGAAAACACGAAAATTATGAGTCTTGTGTCGGACTTTACGAATTTTTCAATGTTATGTTCACAACTGTTTCAATGACAATGCTCAGAAAGAGTCGTTCTTTTCTCGCGATTTTACATCACATTTTCCGTCAAATTATACTCAAAATGACCACGAAAACATGTTGAACAAAGTCATGTATTACTTACCACCTAAAAACTGACAGGAAACGCCTTGAAACTACGGAAGCCGGAGCCTAAACCTATGCTTGGAGAGTAGGACTGTTCACGCATGCTAGTAGCGAATACACAAGAGTGCTCAGAAAGAGTCGTTCATTTCTCTCACATTTTCTGTCAAATTACAGTCGAAATGACCGCGGGAACATGTTGAACAAAGTCAAGTATTACTTATCACATAAAACTGACAGGAAACGTCTTGAAATTACGGAAGTTCATCAGTTTCTTCACTTGGGTGTCCAGGACGTCGCCATCTTGGCTTGCCATGCCACATTGCGGAATTTGCACCAACTGCTGGGCCACAGTACCTGTTGGGCTACGCGTTGACAGATCACTTCAGAATCAAACCAATCAGACTAATCTGAACAGATTTTTCGGTAAAACTGTGATAAATCTGCAAGCAAAGCCATTGTTTGGGGTTACTTTGACCCTTTATGAATGCGCGGCCTCTCTGTGGAAAAGATATCACATTACAATTCTGATGCAATGTTTACCAAACATCCAACAGCAAACTACGTACTCTAGTGTAACGATAACAACTCCTGTACATGCCTAATAACACGTTGCAACCCATGTACCATGCCGGTTAAGGCCTAAAACGTGAGAAATCATTGTTGACAGTTGACTTTGTGATAGATAACAGCAATTCCCAAGCCAGACTGATCGCTCGGAATCCCGCGTATACACATTACGTCCTGGGATAGTGCGTTCAGCACCAAGGACAGACCCCATTCTTGTATGTGAATGTGGTTCAGCACTAAGGACAGGCCCATGATTTTTTCCTTTTTCAACCTTTTTGTCCGGTTTATATGTTACTTAAAGCTTTTCGTTGATCCTTTTTCAACCTTTTTGTCCGGTTTAAATGTTACTTAAAGCTTTTCGTTGATTCTTTAGTTGTATTTTTTGTATTCTGACGCATTACTTGGATTTAATTTTGCTGAATGGGCACTGCAGTTACCTATCCGTGTGTACATGTTAGGTAGACTAGTTATGTTAGACCATGGACAGTTAATCTCAAACACTAGCATTATACAAACCAAAATAAACAGACTGGCAAAATATATGTTAAATCTGCAGACCATCAAATCCAACAAAATCATTTTATTACTTTAGAAAGAAAACCAAAAGTTCAAGAAACAACACAAGCTTGAAAAACTACAACTACCTGTAATACTAGCCTAGCAATGTACCAGTATTTTCAGAGGCTATGAAGAGCACCATGTCACATTCTTTGGGATAAAACGAGAGATAATGTAATTAAAAACAACTCCCTCGAATTAAGACCTTTGTACATGCTATGAAATCACAGACCTGTATAAGAACATAGCATTAGTATGGATGGAAATGTTGGTAAATTTACTTCCTTCATCCTGGCTTTATTTTTTGGTTATTATGTTCTGTTTTCTGTTGTATATGGTATTCTGGTAGCCACCAGTTTTCCAACAGTTGCCAGAAAATCAGCAGCTACCAGAATAACCAAGGAGGTTATACAATCAGGAAAAAAAACAGAATAAGCAAAAAAAAAGCCAAAGCTTGCTACAGAGCCTAGTATTAAGACCACAACTTGAGGTATACGACTTTATACATTAAGGTGAAAGGATCTGTAGTAGTCAGAGACAGTTATTGGGTTAGTTCTTGGGAAGGTATCATAATTTGTTGGGGATATCTCTTTTAGCCCAAAGAACATTTAACTTAGTTATTTAGGGTTTTTAATAGGTGTATGTGACTATACTGTGTTGTACTAGGAGGTAATATTGTGCTTGGAAGACTATTTGTGTATTGTATTCCTTACCTTCATAGACTATTCTAAAAGTGTATAACACTTTTTCAGGGTGGTTTGGCAGTCACTGACTTGTATCCTTGGTTTATAGCACCACTTGTCTAACATGTGACTTGTCCTATGAAACTTATCACCATGGTTCTTTGTATGCTATTTTACCTCGACCTTTAAAGATATCACTAAGACTAGTACAGGAAGGAATCTAGGGAAACAAAATCACTACAATTCAGTGAACAATCTGGTATTTATGTTTGCTAATCCCTCGATATCCTAACAATGATTATAAAGATGTACGAGAGAGCTACATGATTACAGAGAAGTTATCTAGCCTAGCGGCTGTCTGGGGTAGTAACCTGGCACGGCACCGATCTGGGGCCCGGCCTCTCTGATAGAGTACTCGATCTGGTCGGTTATCAGCATACAGACGCGGCAGCGGCCGACCATCCTCTCCATCTCTGTCCGCGCTGTCTGTGTGCGGATCATCTCCTGACACGGCCCGTCCCGCGGCTCGTACGGGTCACGGTTCTGGTTAGGGTTGTAATCTCTGAAAGACGAGAAACAGGTTTGTTACCTCATGGGACGGAAGTATTGTTTTGGGTGTGTAAGCTGTGAATTTATATGTCTGTCCAGACAGGTGGACAGCATGCGGGTGGAGAAAGATTGACAGGCAAAATGACAGGTCGAAACTTCAGACACAGGAAATGGGGGGAAGTTGAGAGTAAGTTGATAGCACATGGGTGGGGAGCTTGATAGGCAGAATGACAGGTCAAAATGTCAGACGCAGGAAATTGAGTTATCTTGAAGGTTACAAAAGGTCGCAGGAGTCTGAATTCTCTGATTTCTTGTTGCTGTAGAGGAAGATGTGTGGTGCTCCTAACAGCAGAGAGGAGTAGGTGGAAACAGCTATGTGTCAGGAACTACAGTCTACACCACTAGGTACAACAAGCAGGTAAAGGAAAGATGTCATGATGATCATTTAATGGTAACCAACACCACTGATTAACATTTCAATCACAATGAAGGCAGTAATGTTACCGTACCTGGGAACAGACGCCAGCCAAAAGCTGAACTTGTTGGCGAAGAATCCGCAGGTCCCCCGGGCTCCGTGACACTCGATGAAGGGGGCGGGGCGGAACCTCTCCAGACAGCTGCCTGGGCTGGAGAAGATCTGACCACTGCCCTCTCCAGCAGCTGTGTGCTGGGGGAAGGAAACAAGCAAGAAATCAGATGCTTCAGACTTCACAGTATACAGTATTGGGCTTCCTGATTTCCCCTTGATGACTGGCTCTGAGAGACCTTTGAGCTGCTGTCATTCAGCCTGTCAATCTTCCCAACCATGTGCTGTTAACATACACATCTGGACAACAAGTTGCTGTTTAAGCATTCCAAAGCTGAACATGAAACTTAACACCATTTCCTTTTATTCTGCCTGTCAATCTTCCCCCAGCCACATGTTTTCAACCTACCTATTCTGTTTGAACAAACAGACCGAAAATAATATTTCTGTTAAACAAGAAATCCAACATCTGTACTGCCTAGCCTTCAAGCATAACTCATAAAACAATGGAGGGTCATACCATGAAGAAGCTGAATCCTTCCCACAATGATTCCCACCTATGGTCCCGTGTGGGGAGGGGACATTCGGGAATGTCGGAGCTCTGACTGTGGAACGCCATGACGGTAGACGGAACCTCGCACACCACGCAGCGGGAGATAAAACGGAGGACATCAATGCCCTGCACCGGGCTGTCTGGGATCTCGGCCCGCGTTGAGACGGTGGATAACCAGTAGGTCTTGTCATCACGAGTGGCGTAGTGACATTGGAAGTTGATGTCACAGAACATGAAGGGCATGGGAGCAAAGGCCCTCACACAGGAGCCGGCAGTACCTGCAAATTATCATTAGAATATCAATGAATATTAAACCATACAAATTTAGCTTTTTGCTGCAGTGATGTACAGTCAAAACTGACCTAAAAACTAGGACCAGAGAGTGGATTCATATTGCTTCTGTTATTATAATGGGAAAAAATAATGTTTTGGCAGGTGGTCCTTATGTAGAGCTGGTCACTTAGGTTTGCCTGTAAGTGTGGAGAAGCTCCTGTCATTATTGTCCTGAGAGAGTAGACTACAAAAATGTTGGCAAGAGAGAAAACCTTGGCTGTGTACCTCCTTGGTACAAGAAAGTCATGATGCAAGTTCTCAAGCAATGTATACATAATTGAAATCATTGTGATCTCCTCTAAGTGTTTTGATGATTGTTTTTACCGAGGTCCTGTCCATGAGCTCTCTCGTTCCCCTCTCCGTGAAGCAGACTGTACCCTTCCCACATCTTTGTCATTCCCGGCAGACACTGCGG